GATGTTATTGTTATTGTCATACTTTGACGCCGTTGACGCTCCGCTTTGCAATTGTATTCTTTCAGCGTATCCTAAGCGAATTCCTCAATTTGGATAAGAGCTACGCTATTATCACAAACAACTTGACCAGCTGCTCATAATTTACGAGCTGCATATTTCCTAATTAACCAAAAGTAGCAAAAAACTAGTCAGATAAAAGTACACACCTGTGTATAGTTGAAATATATATATATATCCATATTGATCTCCACTTCTAATTAAAATTACGTTTTAACTGCATCAAATAAAGAACCAAGTGTTGGAATCAACAATTTTAGCCCATGCTAGTCTTGCCGTGAGAATCTTGAAGCTGGTGCATAATCTTTCGTTTATTAAACCTTTGATCAGCATTGGCCACCCAAGAACGTATCAAATATATTCTCCCAAAGATCTTTGAAAATGTTATTCAAGCCGACCGGGCGGTAAGCAAAAAACTTTCATGCAACCATTTTTCGCGATATTTCTACACATGCGGGTGGAATTTATACAATGAATATTTCACCTTCCTAGCTTTTACGGTTTGGGCTGTGCATTGATCACTGATCACTGATCAGTCAGTCAGGACAGAGAGATTTGATATATCTTGCTCCTATAAGATCTGAGATATGCTCAAAAACACGATTTCGATATTGATTTTTTTCCAATTTCATGGAAACATAATAGAGTCCGTAATTGACGGGCTTATACGACTCGAGTCAAAGATGGATCCTTATGGATATAACAGAAACTATTATACACATTTTACCCCTATTTACTTGAGTTTAGAATATAATTATTGTTCATTGAATTATTAAGTGCTTTCGAAACGGCAAAACCTTTAAAGGATTTACTTAACGAGCAACTGGATGTACTCTTATTTTAATTTAATTTTCTATAAGGAATATAGTCAAAGAATATTACTCGATCTTACTTTTTTTTTACTGTGCATCAAACATTTAATGCAGAGAGAAAAAGATTTATGCGCTGCCCGTTTTGGTTAGGATTGGGAAAACTTACCTCATGGCTCCGTTTCAGTGAGGTATATTCCTGTAATGTGCGCGACACATTACGCTTTAGCGTTGAGATCTCTTGTATTTCTTTATCTAAGATGTTTTTTAAGCGCCGCACAACTTTCGTCTCCGTTTCCAGTTCGCTCTCTATGCTGCACTCGGCGATTGTCTTCTCCAGTTCGCCTGCAAATTGCGAAAGAGTTTTTAAATAAATACAACTCTTTAGTTGATGATGTAAAGTACGAGTGTGTGTGTAAGGTACCACTCTGTGTGTGTGTGTGTGTGTGTGTGTGTGTGTGTGTGTACGTGCGTGTGTATTCCCTAGTGTCTAAGTGAGGAAGTCAATGCTTATTTAAGACCTTATCGTTGCCGAACGGACGGTAGCAACTGTTGTTGCTGTGTGTTGTTGTTGTTCTGCCGGTTCATAGTTGTGGGCCATGCATTGGGACAGCGGGCACGGGGGCGTCACTAGCTTCTCTGACGAAGCTGAGTAAGCAAAATTGTGATAATTGTGTTGAGTGCGACGACGCCGTTGACGCCGTCGATGCCGCCGCCGCCGCCAGCAGCAGAGCCTATCACACAACAATAGGGGCGCCGTCACAGGCAGAAGGGAGGGGCGACAACACCACTGAAGTATAAAATTGAAGATATGCTCGCTTCTTTTTTGAGTGGCAACGAGAAGACGAGGTGATGGAGCGAGGAGGTGGAATTGAAGCGCGCCGTGGCTAAGAAATAAATTGAAAAAGGGCACACTTGAGACAGTGGAGCAAATACGTGAAAATAACCAAAACTATCGAAAACATAGGAAAATATTAAAACAGACACAAGTTAATAGATCGAAAATTCATAAAATATTTCAATAAGCAATTGAGACCAACTTAAGAGAAAATAAGAGAAGATAAACATATTCAAAAAAAAAGAATTATTATATAAATTATCATTTTAAATTTACAAGCATTTTTAGGTTATATATGTAATTCTTAACTGTCCAAAAATTTAATATTAAAATTACTTAAATATTGTAAATATCATGTAAAAAATGATCTCTTTTTTATTTAAAACCCTGTTTCAAAATAAAATGTCTTTATGTAACTAGTAAATAGAAATGGGAACTGAAAATGTTTGCGTGAAACACGACAAATTTAGCAATATATAAAAGTGATTGGCTTTACTCTATATTATTTATTTATTTATACAAACGCAACCCTGTTAAGCATTTGTGTACGTGAAATTTGTATAAATTCAAATATGGAGCTGATAAATCCAAAGCTTACACAATAGACGTACAAAGCGACAAATGAGAAAACTGGAGAGCTTTATACTTGAATAGTTCACCTACTTTTGCATGCAGGCCGAACAAAGGCTTTACTTTTGCCTTATGTCATAATGCTGCGGACAAAACTAATCAAATAAAAGTTGAACCAAGGTAATTTATAGCTGTAAATGTTGATGCGCTGTCTCTGCTGCTGTCGACGCTGGCAGAGTAGCTAAATTGCAATTGCAGCACGCATCTGCTGTGCTCGTGTACGTGTGTGTGTGTGTGTGGTATGTGTGTGTGGCATGCTAAAAGTGTCAGTGGAGTCAATAATGAGTAATGCGATAAAGAGTGGGAGAAGAGAGCGAAACGCTAAAACAAAATAAGGTGTGGGGGTTGTATATGTAGGAGGTTGTATGAGAATGTGAGTGTTTTTTTTATTTTTGGCACAACTTTTACTTTTTGGTCTGCGTATCGTAATCATAACATAATTATTGCAGTTCACTTTTACCTGGGTTTTTTTTTAATGAAATGACCAATGAAGTTTCGATAGAGAAATAAAAAAATGTAACCGGGCATAAAAGAGCGGGTGTTGCCTGGCGGGTGCGAGGCTTAATAAATACACATAAACACAATAACAATCAAAACAAAAAAAATAAATAAAAACGAAAACAAAACCTTTATAAATAGATAGGCAAATAAAAATAAGAGCGGCAAACCGCAAGACAGCGGCAGCGAATGACTGTTGAAAAGAAAGCAACGAAAAAAAATCACCATAAAAATTATTATAATGATTAAAAAACGCGCTAAGCAGCAGCGACAACTCTGGAGGAGTGTTGCTGACTAGCAGACACCCTGCACTTAGACTGCATATATTTGTATTTTTCTATATAAGAACGTACTCAAAATAAAGACGTTTTGAAAATTAAATAACTCAAAATAAGTGACTGTTTAATTTAAGGAAAGTGAGGGAAGAAGCTATGCTAAAATAGAAAATTGCTTTTTCGGTGTACAATACACATACATATAAGAAGCTATGCACTAAATTGACTGCCTATTGCTTTTATAAATTGCAGCAGCTGAAAATCGAACTTTATCTATTACGACAGAACAAAGGAGTTATGTTGTTCCAAATTGACGTATTCAAAAAGACAGCGCAGATCGACTTCTGCTGACCAATAAAATATACTTTATAAAGTCGGGGCTCACGAGCACCACACCCTATTGTTGTTGTTTTGACTGGGTATAGGGTATAATAATCGACTTCGATGTTGAGAAATATAAATGCCACAAGGCCAAGCGCAGACAAGGCGAGGCCACACACACACAAAGACAAGCACACATACACACGCACAAAACGCACGCAAGCCCATGACACACAGTCATCAGAGCATATGCATAGACATTTATGCGCCTACTTACATATACATATGCACGCAAACATAACTGTGCACACCTTGCGCATTTTATGTGGTTTCGTATTCAATTTTTTTCAATTTAGATTTTTTTCTAGCTGGCGCCCTTATCACAACCAGCAAGACGCCGATAAAAGCACACATACACACACACGCACTAGTAAGTACACACACACACGCATACGCTCCCCTTGGATTTACTCACCGCAATTCGCTAGAACCTTGTGCAACGGCATATCCTTGGGCAACTCCTTGGCGGTTTCGTCCAGCGCCTGGGCAATCTTGTAGTGACTGTTTTTCTTGATGCGCTTGTCGTGCTCCTCGATGGTAACGGTGCCATTGCTGCTGCTGCTGCTGCTGCCACTGTGCGCTGGTAATTTGCGCACAATTTTCTCAATGGTTTCGCGATATCGGTCCACCTGTTTCTCAATGGTCTCAAGCTCAGAATCTTTGCAGTCCGATTTTGTAGATCTATATTAAGAAAAACACAACAAATACAGATACAAATCACTATACTGACACCGATATATATGTAAATGCCATTACACAAATGCCGTTAGGTCATCAGCTACGTAAGAAACATGCATATAAAAAACGTAAGCGCTGCGCTTTATTTTGGCATTGATTTGTGTTATGTTTGTTGTTGCTGTTGTTGTTGTTGTTGTTGTTATGAGGCAACACCTGAGCCCGCCACTGGCTGCTTGCGCTTTTGTCTGGCTCTTTTGGAAGTCGTCGCGTCTTTACGGTTGCCGCTGCCTGCCTGCCTGCCCCCTGGCCTTTGAACTTACCTTAAATTTTCAGCAGCAATTTTTATTTTTGCAAATTGTTTCTTCATTTTGTTGCCGCTTTGCACACGCTACCGACCGCCTTTTTACGTTTTACAAAAACAAAATGCACTTTGTTGTGGTTTATTTTGCTGTATTAAATTAACTCGGCATTTACAAATATTTTTAAACACTGGCAAAAATTAGTCATTCTCGGTCGACGAATTACGGAAAAATGATGTAAAGTCGAGGTATTTTGATATCGATCAACTATCGATGGCTGTCATTGCATGCCCAAAGAGTCTAAATATCGATATGTGCAAGCATAAAATACTATTATTGGGTATATCATGCGGCTGACTGTAATGGCCGGCAAAGAGCCTATTATGAGGCAAAGAGCCTTAGATAAAAATAATATTTATGTTTTTATGACTTTTATAATATCCAATAATCGACCCAAATGATTATTCGATTAATTAAATTATCGTCGCCTTCAACTGTTGAACATCGCCATTCGCGATAATATGCCTTCTCTAATGAGCTTCAGCTGCACGTGTGAGCTCAAAGTAGTTTTTGTTTTCATCAAAAAATTGGAATTTTATCAAGTTTTCTATGGATTATATGACTGATGAGGAGGCGGTTAAGAGCGTTTGGGAGTACTACAACCGTGAGAATGGCAAAGAAGAGCCGAAGCAAGACCGGGGGACGATCAGGAAACGATTTGAACAAAAAGTGATTCGTCTATTAACAATACACAATGTGCCTTATTCAAAAAAAGAAGGTGAAAACACATTCAATCTCTATTTATCGTTAAATTTATGCAACATTATTCCAGATGAAGACACTTACGAGGACTATTTGCTGTCTGACGGGGAAAATGCGCCAAAGCCAAAAGGTATCAAGCCCAAGTCGTCAATCAGAGCTGTGCCTGACGACGAAGAAGATGTGGACGAGCGCATTGCGTCCATAAAGAACAAATTGCGCCAGAAGAAGCGTCCAACCACAGAACGACAACAGAAAAGGCGTGAGGCCAAAAAGCTTAAACAAAGCAAAGGAGTGCAAAAGCTGCTTCTGTCCTCGGCAAAATCAATTAAAAACGAGAACATTAAGCAAGAGAAACTGAAGAATGGGTTGATCAAAACGGAGTCAAATCAATCTGGGGATGCCACGGACAGCAAGGCAGTCATTCAGCCCGTTAAAGTGGAGCCGGTGTTTAACGAGGAAGCCAAAATTGTTTATTCCAAAATCGATTTTGCGGCCAATCCAGGCGCTAAAGCTAAGAAATCGCATCAGAATCCAAAAGAAATTCTAAAAAAGCTGAAAGATACGCGTCAGCACATAAACAAACTCAAGGAACAGGGCGAAGCAGACAAGGCAGCCGAATTACAGAATGATATTGCCTGGAAAAAGGCATTTGACAAGATTGAGGGCAAAAAAGTGAAGGATGACACCAAGCTTCTTCAGAAGGCCATCAAAAAAAAGAAGGTGGAGAAGCGGGCGGCAAAGAAGAAATGGACAGAGCGTAAACAGAAAGTGGATCATGATATTGCGAAGCGTCAGAAGAAGCGACAGGAAAATCTTGACAAGCGCAGCAAGGATAAGAAGAACAAGAAATTGAAGAAGGCTAGCAAAAAGGGCCGAATTATACCCGGCTACTAGCTCCTGTTGGCAAATAAATTAGATTAACAAGTCAAATATAAAAAAAAATTGACAAAACAAAATTCAAAGTGCTTTTAAATTTCCCTCTATATAAATTTTTCTATATTTCTGGCCGTAATTTAGTCCAAATTCTTTTGTGTATTTTTCGATAACCTTTTGGTCACTTAATGTCATTGTATATACCACGGTGCGCAGCACAGGCAAGAAGAAGAGCCGCGCGCAACAGCTGTAGTCAAATCAACAGCTGCTCAAAGACTCGCATTGTTGTATTTTGTGAACTAAACACAAGTTCGGGTTTGCATCAGCAATAACGTCTCGTTATTACCAGCACAACCAGGATAGAGAACCGGTGGTGCTTGGACGCAATTTGGTTAAACTGTGTCATGGATCGTCAACAAAAACGGCTTCAAAAACACAACTGCTAGTGAATACCAAAAAAATAAGCAACAATAAGAAGAAGCACATACTGTGACCAGCGCGCACGAAACAACGTGTGAGAAGAAATCAGAAAAACCGAAACACACACTCGCAGCATACACACACACGCGTACAAATACACATACATGCACACACCGCCAAACGAGTGCAGAGATACAGCAACGCGCCGAGCGCAATCTATTTTATTCACATTTTCCACACACAAAAATACCAGCAGCGCGCAGCGAAAAATTAACAATTGCGTCGTACAACAGATCAGAAGGAAGAGGAAAAACGCTTAGAAAAATATATTTTTTGCGAGTGAAACCAACAATTGCTTCAGAGAATTGTGCAAAGCTGAATCGAATGACCAGCAATATTTGCTTGTCAAAATAGTCCAGAACAAGCTGGCAACAACAAGAACAAAATACCAGCAGCCCCCGAACAGTAGCAGGAAGAGAGTATTGTGTGTCTGTGTGTGTGTGTAAGAGAGAGCAGAACCGCCAGCTGAGATTCCCGTAATACCAGCAGCATCAGAGCAACCAGAGCTTCACAATGAGCATGGTACGGCGTATCATTTTGCTGGCTCCAAGATATAAAATTTGGACAAAAGGTAAGCGGAAAATGGCAATTTACAATCAATCGCGAACATACAAAACATATTAAATTTATGATTTGCTGTGCAAAATCGTATACGTAACTGCGTCATTTGCTGAGAGCGGGCCGTCACGTAGCCGCAGCAGCCGTAAGCAACAGCAGCAGCAATAACAAGAATATCAGCGTCCGTTTGGCAAAATGCTTATCAGAATTTCTTAGCTGCATAATAAACGTTACACTCACTTTTGGCTTATATGAAGGTCGCATTTGGCTAACAAGGCTGGTCCAGACGTTTTGAGCCATTGATTTAGAGCCAACTCGAATGAGTTACATACATGAATATATGATTAAAATTCATGTCAAACAGCATTTGGCGAAGGTCAACGTTGCATAGACATAACGTTATTCCAATCAGACAACGTAGCTTGTATCGTATTTACGCTGATTTGTTGTGTTGTTGTTGTTCGATTTTTTGTTTACAGCGGCGTCGGCGGCAGCGGCCGCGTTTTTGAACTGAACTTGAATTGTTTTTAAATGTGGTCGAGGTTTAATTATTGCGGTTAAGGCTCTGACGCAATGGTCGGCCGCTTGAAAATATACTTTTTATGTACGTATGTCTAATGTGCACAAATGGCAAAAGTCATTTTTCCAGTGGTCGCAGGTAATAAACTTTTTCTTTATAAACGTAGCCAGCGGTTGGGCGGAAGTGTGGAAATTATATAAGTGCAAGTTGTTAGGGTATTATGATGAGTCGTTTATTTAATGTGCACTTTCATGTACAGTGAAATCTCGACAGACGAACAGACCTCCCAACTGAGGTTTCACTGTATTTCTCCTCTACTTTTTTTTTTTTGTTATTATTACAAATACAATTTGAACCCGTCATTATATAGTATTCAAATTCATTTTTTACTGCTGAAACTGCATTTTTTTCCGAGTTATATATCAATGCCCAACATTTTCCCCTGAACTTGTCAGTTTTTTTTTAGGCTCTAATTGAATTGAATAATTTTTATATGCGTAGCTGCTAATTGGCCTTGGATTTCTTCCACTATCAGCGAGAACAACAATTTGCATGAATTGTCAACAGACACCAGCCAAACGAACCCTAATATAAGGAACCGAGTGTATAGCCCAGAAATGGGACAATATTTTCGATCTTATATTTCCACGATAGATACATGATATAGTCAAGCAATCTTGATAGAAGTCCAAGGATACTGAAATGCGACATTTGTGTTCCTTGCCCAAAATTCATTAGGATAGCTTCAAGGAGCGCTATAGACATTTGGTTTTATGGATGCATCTGTTGATGCATATACATGTATATTTTATGGGGTAACATCGTGGATACAAATAAAGAAATACAAATTGTCTAATAAGTTGAGTAGAAATTTTATTCTGGGACACACTAGCTCGCATTCCCATATACAATACATTATATAACATACGATTATCATGCTATTATCACAAAGCTGTCTACAATCTGCAATCTGATGTTCTTGGCGGAGGGTTCAATGGACGAACTGGACGACAAAGCAAATCAATTTGCAGCTTGTAAATTGTCATATTTAATAGATACTAAAGTCTTCTCTTCTCTCACCCGCAGGAAGCAGCCACGTACAGCACACACCCAAATGCATCATACTGAGCACAGGGCTGGAGGGCAGAGCGTTTGCCGTGCGTCAGTTCCATTTGGCCACACAGCACTGCACCGCCAATGGGCATCTGCTGCTGGAGCCGCTGGTGGCCATACCCGCCTACATTGACATCACGAATGGTGTCACATCCATGTCGGATGCGAGCAGCGGCACGAGCACTGGCACGGGCGCAGGCACCGGCACTGGCACAGGAACAGGGCCTGGCGTAGGCGGCAGCGGTGGAGCCGGTAAAGTGCCTGGCGCGGGCGCTGGCAGCAATGGTGCGAACACAACCGGCGGCGGCGCTGGTGGTGATAAGTTTTTGTCCTGTCCCAAATGTGGCAGCGCATGCACCCAAGTTGAGACATTTGTCAGCTCAACACGCTTTGTGAAGTGCGCCAAGTGCAATTATTTCTTTGTGGTACTCTCCGACGTGGAGACTAAGCAGCGCATCAAGGAGGAGCCAAAGAATCAGCGGAAGCCGCCGCCGCCGCCGCAAAAGATCATGGAGTATCTGGATAAGCATGTCGTGGGCCAGGAATTTGCCAAGAAGGTGCTTGCCGTTGCCGTTTACAATCATTACAAGCGCATCCATCACAATTTGCCGCAGCTGCAGCAGCCAACTACGGGCTCGGGCAGCGCCAGCGGCGGACTGGATGGTATACCGCGCACGGATCTGCTGCATATCACCGGCATTGGTCACACACTGAACAGCACGCCGGGCAGCGAGCTGCCGCCAAAGCCAGCCCAAATGGGTTTGGGTGGTGGACTGACTGGTTCCGGTCTCGGCAGCGGCCTGCATAGCAGCGCCAGCAGCGTCGGCTCCGCGCGCAACGAACATCGGCCCGGCTCCGAGATACTGGACAAGCAGAGCAACGATGTCAAGTTGGAGAAGAGCAATATTATAATGCTGGGCCCGACGGGTTCCGGTAAAACCCTAATTGCCCAGACAATTGCCCGTTGTCTGGATGTCCCGTTTGCCATCTGCGATTGCACAACGCTAACCCAAGCCGGCTACGTGGGCGAGGATATCGAGAGCGTTATATCAAAGCTGCTGCAGGATGCTAACTACAAGTAATTACACTAACACAATAACATAACACTTAAAATCTGTTTCCAATTCACGAAAAGAGAATTCCAAGCTTAGTTTCCAACAATTTTCCTTCCTGCTGATTAGCCAATCCAACATTCTCTAGTCAGGATGTGATAGATAATTAATTGTCATAGCGATCTTCGAAGTTTTGTACCAATTTTCCGAAGTTGCAGGTGGAATTTTCGAAAACCCTATATAAGCTTGTACCTTCATAATATAAGATAACTTCAGGACAAATTTGGTCTATGCGATGATTTTCAGTCACAAAAAATTAAGACTAACGCTCTTCTCTCTCCTATTCTCTTGCAGCGTGGAACGTGCTCAAACAGGCATTGTCTTCTTGGATGAGGTGGACAAAATTGGCGCTGTGCCCGGTATACATCAGCTGCGCGACGTGGGCGGCGAGGGTGTGCAACAGGGCATGCTTAAAATGCTGGAAGGCACCGTTGTCAATGTACCCGAGCGCAACTCACCGCGCAAGTTGCGTGGCGAAACGGTGCAGGTGGACACAACGAATATACTATTTGTCGCCTCGGGCGCCTATACGGGCCTGGATCGCCTGATTGCCCGTCGTCTAAATGAGAAGGTGAGAACCGAGCCGTAGCCTCAGACTGAAAGCTGTACTCATCTCTTGTTTGCATTTTTATTAGTATCTGGGCTTTGGCATGCCCTCGACCAGCGGTTCGGGCCGTCGAGCGGCTCAATCGACAGCGAGTCCCATGGATAACGATCAGGAAGAGCGTGATAAATGCTTGACCAAGGTGCAGGCGCGTGATCTCGTTGAATTTGGAATGATACCCGTTAGTAGCTCGATCTAAACTATCTATATATAGTATATATATTTACTTACTGCAATTTATGCACAGGAATTTGTTGGTCGCTTTCCGGTCATTGTGCCCTTCCACAGCTTGAACGTCAATATGCTGGTGCGCATTCTAACCGAGCCACGCAACGCCCTGGTGCCGCAATATAAGGCGCTGCTGGGTCTGGACGAGGTGGATCTATCATTTACCGAAGACGCTGTGGAATCAATTGCCACATTAGCCATGGAGAGGCATACAGGCGCGCGCGGTCTGCGCTCCATAATGGTAAGCTCTAAGAAATGTTGCTGAATCAACCGATCTTAATCATACCATACATATCCACAGGAGACACTGCTGCTGGATCCCATGTTCATCGTGCCCGGCTCAGATATTAGAGGTGTACACATTACCGCGGAATATGTGCGCGGCAATACGAAGCCCGTTTACATTCGCAACAGCGATGAAGATGCCAGCGTGACCGGCGATGGCACAACGGAAACAACAGATTCGGAGCCCACCAACGATAATGATAAGAACTTTGAGGATAGTGAAAAAGTACGGCTCAAACAGTAAACGCCCAGTTAACAAACGCAGTAAACAAAAGCTAAAGCGACTAGCCTAACAACAGCTACAACAACAACAACAACAACCGCAGTAACAACAAACACAACAAAATGCAACGCTTTTTCTTTTGTTTTTTACCCATCTCCGAAATTTGTGCCTGCGCTTTTCATTGAATTCACTTTTTAGACATCTTAGAGTTACATTTTGTTAAAACATTTTCAGCTTTGCAATTTGCTTTAATTTCGAACTCTATTTAATCTTAGTACCATATATATATGATCGTTAATGTGTTATATTATTTTTAGTCACGTTTAAATGATACTTTGGTCGGTACATAGCCCCCTACTACCTGTCGCACAATTTTTGAATGGCTCTTGCGCAATTTATATACACAATATATATACAAATTATATCGCTCTCCCCCTATGCCCAATGCACCTGTGATTCAGAATTGACAAGCAGCGTAAATTGTTTATGCACGCAGCCGTTCAAAAATAGTTTGCAACATTCAATTCAATTAAGGCCAACTGTAAAACATAACATTCACTAGAATTGTATTCAAAAATGATAATAAAAAAATACACTACTTTTTTTAAAAACAATCCATAAGTGCGACTTATTGGAGCAAAATAAATATGAGTACGACAACAGTCTATGCCTGTTGCGTGTTTCATAAGCCCTATATATCTATATAATATATATTTCAATAACTCTCAATATATAGATATATATATACGAGGCAAAAGCAAAGTGAGTTAAAAATTTTTTGGTAGCCCAATTAAAGAGATGAGAGAAGCAAATTATATTTTTAACTAATTTAAGTTGTACAAGGAAACGTAAATAAAAATTAAAAAAAAGAACATAACAAAAAAAATGGAATAAAAAAATTTAAAAACAAAAGACTTTAATATCGCTATCGTGGCTTAAGGGGGACTATCTAGAAATAATCTTGTAGAGGGCGTTGCAATTTTATTATGAAATGTGTAATGCATAGAAGTACATATGTATATTCTTGGTTAGTATCAACAACCGAGTCGACAGACTTTGTTTTCAAGAAGACTCTGTTTAGCTGACAAATGAATGAACTGTCAAAAGTAGTCTTATATGGAAAACTTTTTGTTTTTCAAGATATTTTAACCAAAGTTGGCATATAAGTTTCGCTCATACACACATACATATGCAAAATCAACATCGGACTAATATATAATATAGACAATAGGAGCTATGGGTCGAAAAATTTGTACTTGTACCTACAATTTGTTTATCAAGATATCTTACCCAAATTTGGCATTTATAAGTTTCACTGTATCATATATCTGTCATAGGAAATATCGGTCGAAAATGAGGATCTTGTATATCAAACATTTTTGTTCATTAAAATATCTCAAAAAAGACTTGACCAAACTTGAAATTAACTTCGCTTTCAACATACCCCTTTCATTAAAGCCGTATCTTAAAGAAAGGAGTATATATACAGAAAGAATCGGTTGAGCTCACATCTGTCATAACGTAAGCCATATTTCTACAAGGCTGTTTTATCACCAATCTATTTATATAGACAATACGAGCTTATATTAATCATAAAAAGATAAATTTTAAATAATTTATATATACATTTTATTTAAAGCTTTGCACTCAACGTTGATATTCGTTTCTCAATTTCATTATTAATTCAGATGAAAATGCATTTAAACAAATTTATGATTAATTTTATTTATCATATTCAACTAAACAAAATTTGCACAAATTAAATTGACTAAGGTTAACTACTCAATAAAAATTGACTCATGTAACTTGCATATTCGAAACTCATTAATAAATATAATTAAGATTTATTGCACATATGCACTAAAATAATTGTTTTTGTTTTGTTTTGATCTTTTTTTTTGGGATTTTTTTTTTTTTGTAAATTTTTTTCACATGGTGTAAAATTTGTATAAAAATTTGTAAGTAAATAAATATATTTTGGTTGCGTGTGTGGGCTTGTGTGTGTGTGTGTGAGCGAGTGAGGGTGAGTCTGTATAGTATATGTATATAAATAATTATTTAGACCCGAATTTTGACAACGAGCTTCAATCATTCTCCTCAGATATAAGCAGTTCGTACTCCTGTGCCGCAAATCGATCCCAATCGGAGGTCTGTAAAGGCAGGAAGACAATATACATAATTATATATATATATAGATGGAATACAGCTGGGATAATGGTTGGTTATGGAACATATTTACGGATTCATCGCGCTGTGCGGCGAACGGGTCGCGCTGTTCGTGATCTAGATACTTCTCCAGATTAAAGAAGGTATCGAAGAACACGTGCGTCATTTTGCATCGCTTCAAGTCACCCAAGGTAATGGAATCACGGTTTGCAGGCTTTATCATGTCCAGCATCTGCAAGAGTTAACACGAATCGGCATTATGGTTATGATATGAGTGATCGGGGGGATCAGGGCGAACCCACCTGACAGAGGCAATCCTCGAAGGGCAGGCACTCAATGCCAATGCCCTCCATGCGCTGCTGTTGCTCCTCGTAGAAATATTCGAGCTCGTACATGGAGAGGGCGCCATCGCCATCAATGTCCATGCAGCGGAACCAGTACTCGATGGCCGTCGGTGTGCGTTTATCCTCCTCGGAGAGTATGAACCATACGAAGTCCGTGTAGGACATTTTTGGTTCGTCGTCGGGCTTTTTTTTGTTATCGCTGCGCGTCACACAGCCAGAGAAGATCCGTTCGACAATGCGCGTGGAGAGCGCATTATCGCTGTGCTTGGCCAGATCCTCCTGATTAATGAGCAGGTCGTGATCCTTATCCAGCTCCCAGAATTTACAATAGATCACATAGAAGTGCTCGTAGCTAAAGAAGGCCATTATCTGATTGATATCCTCCTCCTCCTCCAGCAGGCTGATCATCTGAAATGCTTCGATTATTATTTACTTCTTATTGGAACATATGCAAGTGGACTCACCTCCAGCAGATCGGAGCGCTTGAGCTCCGATATTGTTATCTTGCCGCTCCAACTGCGATTCACCGAATAGAAGATGCGCGCGATGACCGTGTGCACGTATCTGGAATGGAATTCGGTGGCCTCTTTCAGGAACGCCAGACCTGGATGCGTATCAACCACATCTTGCACCATCGGCACCAAATCCTCTGGCACAATATAGGAACGAAAGCGCTGGCCACGCGATAAAATATAAACAAAACGCGAGGCCGCCTCATGGCAATACACATTCATTCTGTTTTGAAAGTGGAGAAAAGATGAAATTTAATTGAAAATCTTGGCAAGTGAATCCATATAAACTTAACTGCTTCCAGAACTCGACGAAACGCTGACGTTCCACCAGGCCTGTGGCGCCTGCCTGGCAGAAGATCATGACCGGCATGCGCCAGTAGAAGGGCAGGCCGCACAGCTTTAGGATGCGCGGCAGTTCATCCTTGGTCACCTGATTGTTGGGAAAGCTATCGAAGGCGGACAATATGCCGCGTATGACACGTTCCATGGCAATGGTTGGCTGCGGCTTGCCATGTGGAAAGTAGAATCTGTCAAAGGTAAATATAATAGTAGATTTACAGATCAAACGGTAGGGGGGCTCTAGTCGGGAGTGTCCGACTAGGAGATGCCCATACTATCTACAGGAAATCCTTTCTTGACTATAGCCCGATCCTTAATAAATGTTTAGGGATTATATATGACAAAGCAAAAGCGCAACGTCTAACTATAAAATGAGCCACTTTTATTTTGTAGCGAATGGAAGGGAATGATAGTATCCAAAAAGCAAAATATTCTCTATCTGTGTACAGCACGTTTACTGTATCTACCTTTTATAATTCCCGAGCTATGCCTAAAAAACCCTGTTTAAATCGATATTTATCTATATTTTGAAAATGAGAGGTATAGTATCAACATATTGTATCCGAGAGTACTTTTTGATTCAATTTTATCTTTTGTAGTTCTCGAGATCAGTCGACGGACATGGCTAAATACACTTTGGGCAGTCGGCGATGTCTCCTTCTGCCTGACAAATACAGAAGCCATACAACTTCATGGATTCTCAGATGGTTTCTCTTTTTTAGCTCTTTTAATTTGTACAGAGTATGCAAACTGCTGTCATTTACTTTGCTCACCTGGGTATGTAGACGCTCTTCGAGCTACGTATCTCCTTTTGCAGTAGATTTTGTTCCTGTGAGGGCGGCGGCGGGGGCGTAGCATGCAGCTTAACCTGAAAGAAAAGATATAGTATAAATATATATAGCATATAAATATATATATAAATGTAGCATACAAATATATATATAGCATATATCTCCATATATAAAACTGTTTGTCCTATTAAGATCTTAAATGCTTATTCCAGTTTCTAAGTAGATACATGTTTCTATATTAAACACTAAGCCGAAATGAATGTCACTTTAAACTAAAAAATAAGTAAAAAACACTTAAATTGTTGTATTAAATTAAAAGTTTTTGCGAAACCTTATAAAATACGTTTTATAACACACGTTATTGATTGCAATTGAGAGCATAAACTACAAGTCAATTAGTTACTAAGTTTTTAAAATGTCTCATAGTGTTTAAAAACGATAACACAAACGTAATTAAATTTTCCAGCCATTTTTTGCGTATTGACCATTCAACAAGCTGTTAACTCTATACATAAAACTGTTTGTCCTGACTGACTGACTGACTGGTGATCAACGCACAATCCAAACCGTAAGAGCTGGGAAGCTCAAAATTTTCACTGTTAGTTAGTAAGTTCACTTATGAGATAAAGGGGTTTCGGGAAATTCCACCCGCAAGTATGGAAAAATCGCGGAAAACGTTTGTATGAAACTTTTTTGTTTACCATCCGATCGGCCTTAAACTCAATTTCAAAGTTCTTTGTTCAAATTCACTTGAGTGGTGTTTCACACCTTTCCAAAAATGTATTCCTCCTTGGTGGAAAGGTAGCTCAAGGATTTGGTGGATGACGTTTCCCGCTCAAATTAATTTTCAAGGATCTATATGAAATATCGAAATATCATTTGAGACGTGTTTCACATTTTTCGCAAAATCTAAACTCCTTCGGTAGAAATTCAATTCGCTTCAAACTTATTTTCAAAGCTCTATATAAGAACGTAATGAATACGTGTTTCAGCGATTTGAGAAATTCAAACCACAAAAGGGGTTAATTAGCGAAAAACGTTGGCATGAAACTTTGTTAACCATCGGATCGGCCCCAAAATTCTTTTCAAAGATCTTTAAAACTCCATTTGAGGGGTGTTTGGCACTTTTTGGAAAATCCATTCCTCCTTGGTGGAAATGCGAGTCAAAGATTTTCGTTTCGCACTTAAATTCATTTCTAAGTATCCATAAGAAAAATCATTTAAGACCTGTTGCACATTTTTTGCCGGATAAAAGCATCCTGGGTAAAAAGTGCAATTCAATGATGTTTTTGGTGACGTATTCATTTTTTTCTGATTTGCTTCAAAATTATTTTCAAAGCTTTACATATAAACTCTATGAATACGTGTTTAAACGATTTGGGAAATTCCACCCGCAACAGTGGTAAATTGGCGCAAAACGTTTGTATGAAAGTTGTTTATTTATATATATTATATATATAAACAACTTTCATACAAACATTTTGCTTTTATATATATATATATACGTAGACATAGTAACTTTATATAGTTGCCCAAAATCTCAAGTTCATTGTGTACACAATTAAATTTGCCGCACTTTCTGCACTAAATAAATTGGGAATTTCTCAGTTTTTGCAAAGGAATTAAAAAAATTTGTTTTTGTTTACATTTGCGCGCATTTCTCGCGTACATATTTCCAGCTGCCACGCCCCAGAAAACGGTGTGCCCTTTTAATTTATCATTAAATATACTCATTTATTTAAATAAACAAATTGTGCAATTCTGCTTAAGCACTAAATATAATTCGAAAAAATGCTTAAGTATTTTCGTGGAAATTACATTAAACTCAGAGAAAATCGGAAAATGAGCAGCAGCTAAATTCACACTCACACGTATTTCTTGTTGTTTTTGTGCTAAATTCAGCAGCAAATTGAAGCTAAATTTACAATATCCTAATTGGCGCCAATAAAAATAATCTACAAAAAGAAATCTATAGAAATTAAAATAGGTGGCTTTTGTCTCAGTGTGTGTGTGTGTGTTTCGTGGGGCTCTTAAAAAATGCTTAATTTAATTAAATTAGGCGCGATTGGAGCTGACAATGTTAAAGGTTAGCGGCGAAGAATTATAAAACAATTAATTATTATCTAAGCAAAAAAAAAAACGTTTGTGTGTGCATTTCGGAATTTCTGATTTCTGTTGGATAAAAATATTAATATTAATCTAAGAATATGACTATACCAAATCTTTTGCTCTGTTGATTGCATGACGTATACTTAATGTTTATTTTATATAATTGAAATACTTGATTTTGGCTTCCACTAATTTATGAACACACTTTTCATAGTCTTTCTTGTTAGAACTTTTGACTTAAGCATAAAAAAACAAAGAAGAAATTTTAATAAATTAACAAAAATGTATTGTGTTATAAATAGCTGGAATTGCCTACAAAAGCCACGTGCGAAATATTCAATTGGAAATTTACTTTTTCCTTAGTCTAATATCTGTGCACGCTTTTGTTGTGGATCTGTCTTTGTGCACCATATAAGCAGCATCAGCTGCTTTTGGCCATAATTCTCGTATGAGAAGCCACAACTAAGGAGCATAAGCACGCATGATTTTAAAACTGTCAACGCCAGCATTAGTATTAATCTGAAGTCGACACGCAAGATAGAAGAGAACACACACACACAGCTATCGTGCGCACATTACGTATACGCACGGATACGCTCGATAGCCAAGCAAAATATTACGCATACGCATAGTTGTTCAATAAATAAATCGAAGAGGCAAAATAATTCAATTGCGTCTGCTGCGAGAGCAAATAGCACAAATAACTGCAGACAGAGTTTGCGTGAATTATTTATAGCAATTATTTACTTAAAACTCAACAAATACAAATACAGGCAAATTTCACAACAAAACGTAGTAAATGGCCATAGCAAACGGGTTATTCTATTAAGTCAGAAACGTTGTAATTAAATAATTGGGCAAAATAAAAAAAAAGGCAGAGGATACTCTTTTAAAAACCCCAGCAACAATAGTCATGAAAAAAGTGCATGCAATTCGCGTTTGCTTAAATAATCATGTGCTCGTATTGTATTTTGCTTGTATTCTGCTCGGCGCAAACGCCGTATTAGCTTTTTTATACCCTTAAATAGGGTATTTTAATTATGTTATGAAAGTTTTAATGCATATAAAGAAACTAACAACTCCGACAGCAAAAGTATAAATATTTTTGATCCGCAGCCACCGACAAGTTGATAAAGCCATGACTAGTTTAGTCTAGTCTAGTTTAGTCTAGCCTAGTTTAGTCTAGTCTAGTCAAGCCAAGTCTAGTCTAGATCGACTACCTGTCTCGATCTATAGACTAAGCTTGGCGTTTACTAGTTTCACTATGCTCGTATAGCTTTATTGTAAGAATCGTTAGAAAAACCAGCTACTCCTTACTCAGAAATTACTTAGTTAATTATTCTTTTCTGCAAAGTCTGATCAAGATTTTTCGAAACAATCGATTTTTGTAAGGGTATTATATATTCAGCATGCCGAATATAGCATTTAGTTTATTTTTTTTTTTTTAATTTTTTTTTCGCCTATGCACGATCGTGCTGATCGTAAATGCTTAATTTGATTGTTTGTATACGAGAGAATATATGCATGCCCAATAGGTGTACACAATATTTGAGTGCAATAAAAATAAAGGTATATAATTTTTTTAAATTAAACCATTTCGAATAAATCAAAAATGATAGAAATATTGAAATATCATTATTTCAGCTATAAACTAAATTTTGCATATTGAAGTTTTAGACAGAAATTTCATTGTCATATGTTTCTTTTTTCTAGAAGAAATTTGCTTGATATAATACAATAATTTATATAATTAACATCGATAGATTTTACACTTTTTCGTATTTAGGATAAAGAAAAAACAGTTAGCAAATTCATGTGTGGACCCAGAGCCTTCTTTATAGTACTAGGGCTGGCGATTTCGTTCAGGATGCGACTTCTAATCCCAAGCTGGGTATAATTTAAGATCATTATGTATATATTTCCCCATAGAAAAGTGAACTACAAATAAAGCTAGTTAAAAATAAGGACAACTAAATTATGCTTAAAATATGCTTTTAAAGCGCACAGATTTTAGTCTAGAGTCTAGCATTTGGAGTTAAAGCAACTTGACTAACCCTAATGGGATATTGGCCAATTCTATTGTTTTCTATGTTCTGTATATATGTTTATATATATATGTCTAGTCTCATCTCCGTTGGCAAGCGATAGCTACATGGCGATGGCGTCTTGGGGTAACCTTAAATCAATCAATGATGCTAAAGCGGGCCGATAACAGCCACACGATATATTCTAATTGCGGGGGCAGGTGGGAGCGAAGGGGGAAGGGAGGGTGGGCTAGCGATTTGTTGCAAATGTTGCGGCTGTGGTGATTTTTTTTCATTCGCAATGTGCAACTGTTAGATAACCACCGCCACACACACCCGCACACACACACGCACACACACGCGCACATGCACGGCCAATTTATGTAGTTTTTTTGGAGTGTATTTTTCTCTGTGGGGGATGGGCTCTTACCTTGAGCAGACTCTTGGGCGGCGCATCCGCTGGCCGTTTGATATCGAGAAACGAGTTGCGCACATCCGGACGCTTCTCAAAGAGCAGCACACGCTCGGCAACAGAGCCACGTGTCAGGATCGGTCTGCCCACTGTAATTGCGTATGTATATATATATATATATGTTAGACGGCAAATCAATAAGTAAATTAATTAATTTGTTATAATTACAATTCTTATCCTGGCCATTTGTGAGCGCTGCACGGCTGCCGCTAGTCGGTTTGGTTTTATTCAACGTTGGCATCGTTGTGTCCGCCAATGTTGCTGGCGTGTCAGTGCCTGCTGCTGCTACTGCTGTTGTATTGGCCACAATGTTGCTGGCTTTGCTGTTATCAGTGTTGCCGCTGCGATTGTTGCTGCCGCTGCTGTTAGTCAATTTTCGCGTTATTGTTGGCTTTTCTTTGGTTGTTGCAGCCGTTGCCGGCTTCTGTTGCTGCTCGCTACTGTTGCTGCTGTTGATGTTGTTCTCTTTGGTTTTGTGGAGCTTGCGACCGCCAATTGCTGGCTCGCTGGCGCCTTTAGCTGTCATATCAAGCACTGACACGCCCACACGTGGCGCATCTAACACATCCACGGGGCGTATGTTGCTGCTGTTGCTGCTGCTGTTGTTGTTGTTGCTGCTAGTTTTGCTAAGTTTCTTTGTGGGCTGCTCTGCTGCTGTCAACTTGCTGCTGCTGTTGCTTAAACTGTTGCTGCCTGCTTTGCTGCTGTTGCTGCTCTGCCGCTTTTTGGCAGCTGTTGCCGCCGCTGCGGCTGCCTCCTTTTTGAGCAGCTCGCTGATTTGCAGCAATTGCTGCGTCTGTTGCTGCGACAAATTGTTTACATCCAGTTGCAAATTGATGTCATAATTGAGATTCACATCGGGCTGTGTTTTGGCAGCCACAGCTGCCACTTTTTTGGGCGATTGCAGCGCCTGCTGCGCCGCCGGCTCCACTTGACATGATTTGCCCGCCTTGACAGTTGCTGCTGCTGCTGCTGCTGTTGTTGTTGTTGTTGTTGTTGTTGCGCCCGCTGTCGCTTTTTTCATCTTGCCATTGACGTTTGACTGCACGGCCACGCCCACTTCCGACTTTTTATTGCCACTTTTGCCTCTCTGTTCTTTGTCTTTGTTCACAAAGCTGGTGACCATCTTCTGCAAGCCCTCAGCATTGCTCAGATCTGCCGCTGCCGCTGCCGACGCCGTTGCCGCTGCCGCCGCAACAGCAACATCCGCAAAATCGCCGGTGGCCGCCGCATTTGTGTACATCTCGAACAGCTGGGCGGGCGGCATCCCCCGACTCTTCCACGTGTGATAGATGGCATCGGCATGCTCGCTAATCTTATTGGACAGCTCCTCGATCTCGGCGTGCGCATCGCTGCCGATCCGCGAGGGGGATTTGGGGCCCGCAGTTGCCGTTGCCGTTGCAGCTGCAGCTGCAGCAGTTGCCGGTTTGCGTGTGGTTGTTGTTGTTGTTGTTTTGCTGGCAGTTGTCATAGCCACAGCGCTGCTGCCGCTGGCGCCGCCGCTGCTGCTCAGCTTTTTGGACTTGGTTGTTGTTGTCGTTGAAGACGCCTGCATTTTCCCCCAAATTCGTTAACGTATCTTTCTAGTTTCCTCCTCTCTGTTTTTTCTTTTTTTTCGGTTTTTTTTCACGCACAATTTTTATTTTCAAAAAATATTTACATTTTCGATTTGGTCTGTGTTCTCTCTACACTCGAACAAAAACTGTGCGTTATTATTTGATTTAATTCTGACGTTTTCGCAGCAAATTTCAGATTTTGTTTTTTTTGGTTTTTAATATTTTGTTCAGTTCCACATTTCAGAACTCAGTGGGCTATGTAATTCTGTTTGATTTAAACAAATTTCTCGTGCGTTTCATTCAATTTTCACATTTTCCTCGTTTTAACTTTTCTCCGTATGGCGAAATCTATTTATATAAAGAAATACCAAAATTTCCTATTTCGTTAATTTCAGACGCCGCCGAAATACACAGCCCGCAACGTAGACGCAGTCGCACACACACACTCTCAAACACATACACACTCACTCACACACACACAAATATATATAACGGCGGCATTAGCATCGGGATCGGAGCATCATCTCGATACGTAAAACGCGCACACTGTGCACAGTGGTTGCAGTACAATTTTAAATGGACAAGAAAAAGCTCTTATAGATCGCGTAATTAATTATTTATTATTATTTTATGCGATGTATTTAATTAAAATAGAAAAGTATTATTATATAAAAATTAAAAAAATATTTGGGAATAGTCAAAACTTTCTAATATGTACTTTTAAAAAAAGCTTTATTTATTTTGTATGTAATTTTATTATAAAGCAGTTGGAAGACAAGGTTAATTTTATTTTCAAAAATTATTTTCAATGTTTTTCTTTTATGTTTTCGCCTATTTGCAGGTATTATAGTGTACATGTGCGGACTGCCTTAACTTTGTTTATTTTGGCATTTATTTGTTCATCTATTTCGGGCAGTTTCAATAGTGAAGGGTGCATAATTCACTTAACATATCGTTGGAACTAAGTAATAAAAAATTGTTCACACTTGCGTGCGAAATATTTTGGTTTTTTGCTGCTGCAATTAATTTAATAAATGCTCAGCCCGGCCAATTGAAGCAATGCAAATGAGTTGCAGTTCACTGTGCACGCGTTAAAAAAAATGAGAGGTTGCCCCTTTGCCCGTTGGCGGCATTTTTGCCTTGTTTTTACGTTTAGCGGCGGCTGCTGCTGCTGCTTCTTCAACTTTGTACTATTTATTCGAAAATAAATATCGAAGTAGTTGCCGCTGCCGCTGCCGCTGTCGCTGCTGCTGCCGGCGCTGTTGCTGCTGCTTCCGTGCTGCTTGCCACACACTTTTCTACTGCACTTAACATACGTGCATAAGTATGTGTGTGTGTGATTGTGTGCATGGAGTCGGCGCTATCGAGTATATTTGGATGTTTGTCTGGCTTTATTAATGATTTAATTGCATTTATGCCCCAAAGGCGTGCGCTGACGACAGTCACGATGACGCGCGCCGCGTTGCTTGAATTTCGTCATTAATTAATAAACCAAACAAGAGGTTAAACGAAATTTGCAATTTGACATTTCATTTTGGCCACCAATGAAAAACAAGTTAACAGCGATCAAAGTTGAGCCAAGCAATAACAATATAAACGCACGCGCACACGCACGCGCATACCTAAACACAAGTAACTGTATTTACACATATCGGCATGCATCTGGCAAAGTTGGTGGAAAACCGTATTTGTGTTTTTCGTTTGGAATCTTTGACCGGTGCGCTAAAATTAACAGTATATTGCCGTGTTCAACACAAGAAAATTTTTACCGAGCGCACTGCACGCGAACCGCCAAACGCTGCTGATTAGCTTCGTGTTGTTACTGTAAATCTTTGGCCGCTCTGCTCGCGGCTGAAAATAACATCAGTCGCAGTCGCTGTCGCAGTCTGCGTTGCAGCCTCTGCTAACGTCGCCATCGCTGTTGGCGAGCGTAGTGCGAAGTGGAAGTGATCTCAGCTGTTGCAGCAGCAGCTAATGACACTGAGAACAGACGATTAGGGCGCTCCCACACACACGCACACACACATTAATACACTCTTGTTCACTCGCTCAATTGCAAATGAGAGTTCCAGCGTCGCCATTTACTTTGGCGTTCTTTGAGCAGCAGCAGCGGCCATCGCAGCCAGACTCGCTCTCTTTCTCTCACTGCTCTCTCACTTACCCCCACATAGCACGCACACTCAGACGCAAACGCAGACGCAGACGCAGAACACTTGCCGTACCCACACACATCACGCTGTCGAACGAAAAGGAAATAAAAAATAGCAACAACAACAACAAAAGCAAACAGCACAAATCAAAGCAAAGGTGTTTGTTATTTATACGCTATGCAAGCAGCATGGGGTATATGGCATACGTCATACAGCTTGCAGCCAACAATAGCTTAAAAATTGTGTATTCAGTCAATTTATTAAGTCAAGAGCACAGAGGTCAAACTACAAATAAAAATATTTTAATTTAAAAAATTACCCTATGATTGCACTTATATCAATTCAACTTATTAGGTTATAATTTGTGTAGTTTAAACATTGAACAGTATTCGCATATTCGGTGTCCACTTGATATTTAGTCGAAGAAGAATAAAACCTGAAACATTTATTTCGCCTTTGCTAATGCTAAATAACTTATTTCTGTTTTGACTTTTTTGTGTCATGATGTTTGTTGCAGTCGGTTTTTTGTTGGTTTTTTTTTTTGCCTTTTTAAATTAATTTTTTTTTTTTTTTTGAATTTCTGGCTGCTTCGTTTATATTCCTTGTGTGTTTATATGAATTTTGCAGGTGGGCGCACTTTTGTTTGGTTTAAGCAACTCGAAATGATGTTCGATATTCTGCGCTCTGCTCTGTCATATAAAATTGTCTGATGAGGCATCTTTTTATTATTTACACGTTTGTTTTTCACACAATGCACACACACATGCATAGCACTAGGCGACAGGCGGATTAACCGCAAACAAGTGTTGTAGCTACTGTGATGACGTTCGAAATGCTCATAATGAGCATGATGATAATCGGCAACATCAGCGAAGCGCAGCTTCCGGTTTGCGTTCTGTTTGATCTGCTGCTCATTTCTATCTTTATTGTCCGTTGCTGTTTCTTCTTATTCGCCCGCCTCGCGCTCTGCTTTGTGGTAATTGATTTTAACCAAAAGATGTCAACCTTTACACATGCTGATTGTCTCGTAAATTGACAGTTATTTAGCGTTCCGCTTCCATATAAGGGTGCTACCATCCCTCTGCCCCCTCCCGCAGCATCCCTCGCATCGGATTAGCTGTGACTCAATTGATGCGCTCGTGTTGAGTTTTTCTGTGCGCATAAAACAAACAAAGCGCTTGATGCCACCATAGAAGATTTGACAAAACCCAACGCCCACACCCCCTAGCGGGCCACACACACACACACCCGAACACACACCCGCACACACTCATTTTGTTTAGACGCTCTCTGACATGTGAGACAACACGTAAACAATACAACACGAGCGTCACAATTGAAGTGCGAATAGATCTATTGACGGCACACAGCCTGAAAAACAAGCTTACGTTTAATGCTAAAGATTTGATCTAGGAATATAAATAGCATTAATGACAGATTAAAGTCTGTAGCAGCACTTGTAATTCATAATTGTCATCAAATTTGAAAAAGATAAAATATTTGGTATACAGAATAAATATAAAATACAAGAAAATGGAAAAGAAATAAGTCATGCTACTTAAAAATATAATAATCCCAAATATCTCAATAACATTAATCATCTTAGATTGCTTATACTTAAAAAATGAATATAATTTTTAAGAAAAATAATAATAAGTATATAATAATATAATAATAATAATGATTATAATAATCCTAATAATAATATTAATAATAATAATAGCAATATATTCATGAACTGTAGAAATCAACAAAATTTGATAGTCGTTAGTTTTAATCGTTAATAGTTTTTCAAATTTTGATTTGGTGCAGAAAATATTTTTGTTGGTTATCGTTTGATAATAATAAAATGTATTATAATTATTATGATTATTATTATTAATATTACTATTATTATTATTATTATTATTATTATTATTATTATTATTATTATTATTATTATTATTATTATTAATATTATTATTGTTATTATTTTCATTATTGTTATCATTGATATTATTATTATAATTTATATTATTATAATTATTATTATTATTATTAAAATTAATATTATTATTATTTTCATTATCATTATTCTGATTATTACCAATATTATGAGAATTATTATTAGTAGTAGTAGTATTATTATTAATATTAATATTGTTACTATTATTTCACAGTAACTATTTAAGGTATAAAAAAAAATACTTTTTATTTATTATATTATTAGCTTTCCACGTACATTAAAATAATAAAATGCCACTTTTTTTCTATAAAAAAAAAAGATGTTAAAATAATGTAAGTGTTTTTTTCTTCAAAATTTCGTTATATTTGCAGTAAATTTTTAATAAAACCCTCATTAAGTCAAGCTAACATTAAAATGAAAGCTTCGCCACAGTGCGTATGCGCAATGTGTGAAAATCTCATGCAGAGATTACGCATACGCCGCGTAAAGTCAATGTGTTTGCGATCTGCTGAAATTTAAATGTACTTTCCAGTTTCTTTGGTTTGTACGGTGCATTTATTGATTTGTTTATGCTCTTCATATTTGCACATTGCATTGACACATTAAGTCGCTGACTTTCCACGCCCACTTAGTTTATTTTGATTTGTGTGTGGCACAATGTCAACTCAAGTGTTGGCCCGTTGCCAGCCGGGCGCATCTCGAGCTTGGAAACCTTTGAAGTACCTTTAACAAGAACCATAACTATTGACATTGGGCTAGCCAGTTATCGCGTCATCGTTGGCATTATTTTATTTTATATTTTCTGAAATATTTCTTTTGGTTTGTTTTATAAGCCAAAAGCTATTAACGCCTTTATTTTTAGGCCTTTGGGTGCAAGAACTAATTGAATTTGGTTTGTTTAGAAAAATAAACTATAAAAGCGGCGTCCCAGCCAGGCACAGACGCAGGTTTCAAAAAACCAATCGCCGCGAATAGTCCGCTCCAGTGAAAAACATTCAGGGAAAGATTTGTAAAAAGTGTTAGAGATTTAAAAATATTTAAAAAAATAAATAAATATTAATTTGCAGCTTTTTATGTAAGTCGCAGAAGCTAGTGAAAGCTAAAGCCGGGATATAGTGCAAAAGCGGATATTTAAAATTCAAAATGGAGAGGT